AGCCAGTGAAGTGAAGTATAGCTCCTTCTTGTCTGATAAAAGCAGTGCCATTGGTATCTCTATCAACATTAAAAAGTGTGTAATTGTCTGTGTTGGCAGCAGATCATCTCTCATTCTGTCAGTACAAAGGTGGCTGCTTGATTCATTACTAAGGCAAGCTATAAGATTACTGCAGGGTGCCTTTTTTTGAGGGCTATAGATTTTGCGGATTTTTATTTTGCAGATTTAATTGTCGCAAATTTATGCCGTCTGCTATCTTATACCGTATTAAAAGCATTGCTTCTCAATTTTGGCATACAAATCAGGTCCAGTACTGCACCAATACTACAGTACATGTACATGCCCATGGTCTCAAGCCAAATTTTACCAAAATTGAAAGGGAGAGAATTCTCTTTTTTACAATTCTTTCTGATACATACACATGTACTTACGTTGCATAGCAAGTGTGAGCTGATTCCAATCAAAATTAGATTTTTGTGAATTTTAAAACAGTTCCAAAATTAAGCCTAAATCCCTGTAAATACTACAAGGTCATTGGCCAGATTTTGTCAAAAATGAATAGGAGAGAATTCTCTATTTTCATAGTTTTATCTGGTAGATATACATGTACATGTATTCATTTTGCATAGCAAATTTGAGCTGATTCTGATCAAAACTGAGTTTTTGTGAATTTTTAAATTTATTCCAAAATCCAGCCAAAGACCAGGGTCGTCAGGTCTCTGGACAAATTTTTGTCAAAAATGACTAGAAAATAAACTATTCATTTTATAATTTTTTGTGATACGTATAGATGTACTTATAGATGTACTTATATCATGTAGCAAGCTTGAGCTGATTCCGATCAAGTTTAGATTTTTAATGAATTTTAAAAGTTGGTCCAGCCTCCAAAATCGGGCTAAAGACCCTGTACTATAATAGTACATGGTCGTTGGCCAAATTTCACTAAAATTGAAAAATAGAGAATTCTCCATTTTTATAATTTTTCTTGATACATATACATGTACTTATGTTGTGTAGCAAGTTTGAGCTGATTCTAATCAAAATTGGATTTTTTACGTAATTTTAAAGTTGCTCCAAAATCAGGCCAAAAACCCTGTACTATAGTATAGGATCATTGGCCAAGTTTTGTCAAAAATGACTAGGAGAAAAGTCAACACTTTTATAATTTTTTCTGATACGCATACATGTACTTATGTTGCATAGCAAGTTTGAGCTAATTCCGATCAAGTTTGGATTTTTTATGGGTGGGAAATATCAGAAATATGTTTACTTTGATGTTTCAGTGGCAGAACCTGAAGATGATTCTACACGAGACTGAGCCTTCTTTTCCTTCCTCTCTGCATCCTTACGTTTAAAGTAATCCTGCCTGTCAGTGTCAGATAAATAAAATAAAACCATGACAATTCAAATATTTTGCAGAGAATACTTTGTCTCCACAGTCAATAGCTCATCCTTATACTTTAGTTCTGCTTTCTTCTCCAGTACTTTACTAATGGAGTCCACTAACTTATACTCAACAAATATTGATCCCTACATGCACCACAACATAAAACAAAGCTATGTAACATCATATAAGCACCTTAAACTGTTTGTCAAGGTCTTTCTTCATTCGTATCATTTCAGTCTAAAATATTAAATACAATACAAATATAATTATTATGTTATAATAGGCAAACCTCTCCAAATGGGAGAAGAAAGTCTTGAATGTCATCAAGAGTTGAATCTTTTGGAAAGCCTTTCTATAATTAGAAAATAATAATCATTATAATAATTATACATTGAAAGTTGGAACAGAGTTAGAGTTTACCATGTAAAGAGTGCGATTGCTCATGTCCTTTCTATCCTCAGGAGAGAGGAGGGATAGAGTTGGCACAGGGTCTGATGATTTCCTCTTTACTTTAAGACCATCCTCACTTACCTATACATGCATATATGAATGTACATGATACTACATATTCATATGCACATGTATACTGTAC